ACCTATTCTCACTTGCAAGTAACAATGAATTGTTTATATAGTTAATTTGTTTTACAGTAATTAGACAAACTATATCCCCTTTTAGATTTACATGTATTTCATACATTTTAATATAGAAATGATGAATAGATTTGTGAAAAAAAAATTACTTTATTTTATTTAAAAAATATGGGTTTCAGAAAGTAACAAACTTCTTTTCATATACCATACTAATGTAGCATGGGCTTGTGTTTGTACAATAATTAAGTGCATCATAGATTTTAATTAAATTTGTTTATACAGTGTGTCACACTGCCCAAGTCATTAGTTGTAAAGAATTTGACAGGTGTGACTCCCTCTCATACCTAAGAAAACAAGAGGCCCATAGGCCTTATAGGTCACCTGAGCATCGTGCAACACTTTTCCAACGATTGAATTTGGTTCATGTTTTAAACTAGATGTCATGGCATTCACAATTTTGAAAGAGGTACCATTGCTTATTATAACTATACACTAAGCATGCTTACTTTGGTTACTTAATACTTTTAAATACCCATAGACAGAGAAGGGAACAAAAAATGCATTTTAACTAATCAGTAATATTTAGCAATAATCAGTAATGCCACTACCACACTTAAACCCCTGACCCTTAGTCCAAACATTTCACAATTTTGGAAAAGGCACCCTTGCTTTATATAAAGAAAACTTTGGTTAATACCAAGGAGCAAATTTAAATTAATTTATTTTCAGTATATGATTAGAGCCACCAGCCCCCCCCCCCCCCTCCAAGGTACCCCTGACTCAGGGGCCTTGATAATCACAAGGAAAAAAATTACAAAAATATATATATATTTTTTAAATAAAACTCAAGTAATTGAAATGTATTTAATTACATTTGTCAAAGTAATTGAAAGTAATTAATTACATTTGAAAAAATCAGTGTAATTGTAATTGCAAGTAACTGACAAAATTATCAATTACTTTGAAAGTAATTAATTACATTTCAAAGTAATTGACCCCAAGCCTGATGTCTAGGTCTTCAATCTCAAGATATCCACCCTTCATGTTGCATCGCTTAGAAAACTCTTCAGCTGTGATATCCACTTTTTCCGAGAAAACTCCTTTAAACTGTTCATTTAAAATATTTGCTTTGTCTACTGAATCCTGGTGAAGAAGGCCGCCCTTTTTTAAAGGTGGTATGCTATTTCCATCTGATTTTCTATGTTTGACAAATGTCCAAAAACGTTTATTTCTGTCTTGATTAGCATCATCTGGTCCTGATGTTACAATGTTTTCATGTACTTCCAGTGTGAGCGTCGTGTCTCCTGCTGTGTTTTCCGTTTTAATTCCTTATAGGTGTTAGCATCCTTTGTATTTCCTGATTTTTTTCTTTTTCTTGTAGTAAGCATTCCTTTTCTTTATCAATCTGCGGACTCCTCGTGTAATCCAAGGCTTACTATCCTTAGTTCTGGCTAGCTTTGATGGAATATGTTCTCTAATACTTTCTTTGAGGGAGTGTTGAAAGTGATTCCATAGGCTATTGGTCGAAACTGCCTTGTCCCTCATGGATTTGATGACAGTTAGTGCTTCTTTCATATCTTTCCTGATCTCATCCCAGTTTGCCTTTCTGTACAATGGTATTAAACGAGGTCGTTGTTGTATTTTAGTTGGTATGACGTCTACTTCTACAAACATTACATCATGATCTGAAATATTGGGTATGTCTCCACCCTGTTGACAATGGATGAATAGTTGATTACCACTAAGTCAAGTTTGTTTGCCCCACTTGTTGGATTAACGACCAACTGTGATAGTCCTAGGTCATCAAGAGTCTCTAAGAATTCATTGTGTATCCTCGTGTACTGTGTTCCAGTTTTGATGCTTTTTGTTTCCCAATTTATGCCAGGAAGATTGAAGTCTCCTGCTGATATAATCATAGCATTATTTACCCTGCAAGCTCTTTCCATACTTTTGTAATAACTTAGGAAGCCTTCCTCATTACTTGTTTTGGATTGTAGAAACTGGATAAGTAGATTGTACGATGACCGACCAGATTTAGTTTGCACCACACGATTTCACACTCTGTTTCGAATTCAGGCACTGACGAGGTGAGAAGATCATTTTTCACTGCTATGATAACCCCTCCTCCACTAAGATTTTTGTCTTTGCAATAGGTAGTGAAGTCTATTGGGAGAAACTGTGAATCCTTAACAGAGTGGTCAATCCATGTTTCTGTTCCAAAGATTACGTCGGGATTAGTGCTTTCGATGAGATTAAGTAATTCACCTTGTTTTGTTTTAACTGACTGAAAATTGACATCCAAGAGTCTTAGATTATTCTTATACTTTCGTTTTCTATGATTATTACTCTCTCTTTTTGGTGTAGAGGTGTGAAGTGGGCGTATGGGTGAATCGCTGCTCGAGCTGTCTGGTAACTCTCCAAGAATACTGAAGTTGTTGCTAGTACTAAAGGCCATAGAAAAACAAAAAATTGAGAAATTTGGACATCCACACATGATGCAGTCCAAGGCTAAGGCTGAGTCTTTTACGTGACGTTGGTACGATCCTGATGTCATTGACTGGCATGCCCTGTGGTACCATTGGTTGCATGTGTCACAAACTATACCATGCTGACTCCAGTCAACTGTTTGGTCGCATGTTCCACATGCATGATGATGGGTGCCCTCACTGACATTATAAGTATCTGTAGGACCTGGATTTTGTACAGTATCATTTGAAAGTAGGAACACCCCTACTAATGTTATTGTGATTTAAATTCAAGACACTTGGTTTAGGTTTATCTATTCAAAGGTTATAGGTAATAGGATAGAACCGGTTTTATAAATAAAATTGGCAGTAAACAGGAAATTGCTATAGTGTGTTTCTTCTGGAAAAAGAAGTCCTGTGAAAAATGTGTTTCCAGACCTTTTTGAAAGACTTTCATGAGTTTTATAATTCGCAGAACACCGAAAAATAAAAAGTTCCGAACACATTAGTAGGGGTGAGTAATACAATAAACGAAATGTGATGCATACTAAGATCTTTTACCGTCTGCTGAACGTTTTTCTTTGGCTTCGGTGCTTTGAAGAAGAACGTGAACCGTTTCTGATGCCATTGTTGTTTTATAACATCTGATGTATGTCTATTTGGGTAAGCAGATTCACCTGACATCAGGATAAAAAACGCCACCAAGGAAACAATCGTAGCTATCCTACTTGCAAAGTTGGTCATTATTCTTTACAGTTCGAATTTCCTATGCAACTGATATGGTTAGCGTCTATGTCCAGAAAATCGCAAGGATTTTTTAGAAATCACATAAGTTCACAAAATACTTAATTCGTGCACCATACCCACCAATCCATATTTACCAGTAGTTGAAATTTACAGAAAATAAGGATATTTGTACAAAATCCTCTGCTGCTGTAAATTTTCCCTCTATATTTTCGCGCTTGCGCACACCCAAGCCCATGTATGCACATAGGGTATAGGAGTACGTAGATAGTGTAACACTGGAATGCTTTCTAAGATACCCCCCCCCCATCCCCGAAAAAAGACAAGTAAACAAACAACAACAAAAGAGACAATCACAATACAATTAATAAAATTGTTTTAGTAATTAAATATCACCACACGCAGCATGACAACAACAAAAAAATTCTGTTTACCATTTTATGTACCAAGTATTTACTGTACTTTTAAAAGTATGTATAGAGAGGGGGATTTAATAAATTCGATACGGCTCAATCTTAGAAAAAATACAAAAGAAGTTTTTTTTTTCTTTTTAAAATGGGATTCTATTCCGTTTTTATTTACAAACTTGTAGGTTTCCTTTATCAGTTTATCTTAAGTGTTAAATTTTCACCAGAAACGACTAAAATTGAGGGGGAAATCGGGATTTAGGGTGGGAGTACATGTACATCCCCGCGCAAGATCCCCCAGCGCCCCCCCCCCCAAAAAAAAAAACATCAAACAACAAAAAAATAAAAACTGGCGTAAAGCCTGAGAAGTTATTTTCATGATGCTTTCATATAAATTATTTGTGCCCATTATATTTTGAAGCTCTCTATAAAAACAGGTAAATTCGTCAAATTTTTGGCATTTTGAGATGCCCCCTCTGGTAACAAGACGGAAGAATTTTGTGTTTCTTATATATAATGTACACACCCATCATATATTATAGTTTGAACGAAAAGTCTATTATAGTATTTGTACACTATATTTTAAAGTGCTAAAATTGGTTCTTTTCTATATAATCCTATTATAAATGTACCTGTAAGACGGTCCCTCAAGAATGCCTGACGTTTTTCAAACAACTGACTGGTCCATTATTGATACACTGATTTGTCTACGTTTTTTTCTCTCTTTCTCTCGATCGTGACAGTGTGACAGATCGACAGGGGATGTTCACACTTTCATGGCAGCTGATACCACTTTTCGTTAAGGCCCTTGTTTGCTATGTTCATACGTAGAAGGCCATAGAGATGACGATCAGTATTAAATCTCAAAGTCCATAAAACAATACAAAATAAGAGCAGAGCAAATACGCACCCCCAAAACATCAGAGGTGGGATCAGGTGCCATGGAGGAGTGAACATCCCCTGCCGACCGGTCAAACCCGCAGTGTGCTCCTTGTTATGATCAGGAAATAACAGAAAAACTTTCGTTTCTCTTTTCAAAGTTTCGTACTCTGTATTCATCGTATTTCTTTCTCTTAATATGCTAGTTTGTTCTCTAGAATTTAAGACGTCATAACGATTCATCCAAATAAAAATGTAACATTAAAGTGATTTTTACAAAAAGTACAAAAACCCAATAGAAACAAGATTTAAATATGTAAAACAGCGCGTAGTTTACTTAACTTAAGATGTAATTTTAAATTTTCAAAACAAAATATGTATGCTTAAATTGTTTACGTTGTAGCTAAAGCAGAAATATTGATATCGCTTGTTACTTTTCCTTTAGGCATGTGTTCTGTAGATTTAAATTTTCATATTTTTCATATTCACGTTTGATTCTCCCATCAAGTTTAAAACTTCGTATCTTGCATTCACATTGTCTTCATTCCCTAATGTGCTCACATTTTCAGTTTTGTTTAAAACTTCATATCTTTCATTCTCAGCATCATTTTGTCTTTAAACGCTCGTTTCTCTTTTCAAGGTGTCATACTCTGTATTCATCGTATTTCTTTCTCTTAATATGCTAGTTTGTTCCCTGGAATTTAAAGCTTCATATCTTGTATTCTCGGTACCACTTGTTCCTGTTGTGGTCGTTCTTTCTGCTGCATTCAAAACTTCATATTGTGCAAGTCCAGTATGACTTTCCTTCAAATGATGGCATCTGAAAAAAATCATGGAAGGCAAAGAATTTTTCGAAACAATCATAAATTCAAATTTATATCATTTTAAAAAAAAAACAAAAAAAATTTGCTAAACAAAATTTATGAGTAGTCGAACACAATGGTGTGTGCATCCTTCTCATGATATCTATCTGTGTGCTGGAAATTTGCTTCTAGAACATGTAGAAGAAATGATTGATTATGGGCACTATGTCAGTTGCATGCATATGTATACATATAATTCTAATTTCAAGAATATGTTAACAGGTGGAAAGTGAAAACTGGCGTAGGCTTACATACAGCTTATATAACTTATTTCTATTTTAAACACCACTGAGCACAGACTGATAATATATCGTGAAATGTTACAAAAATTTGTTGAGAATGTTGCCGGGGACCAAGAAAAAAATTCGCTAAATAAAAATTCCTTAATGCATGTTCACACTATACGAGTTTTACTCTACTATTTTTATTCATACACTACAAAATTGCGAATTTTCTTAAGTATTAACTACAAAATCATAATAAGTGAAAGTGCAAGGAAGTGTCATGATTTTGGAAATATAGGATCTTTAAGATTTGCGGCAAGCTTTCTGCTTTGATTTCGCTGTTGTCATTTTTTAAAAATCTTTTTCATTTACATGTATATACGTAAAGGTTAAGACCCTTTCACAATTGGCGCACGAGCAGAAACGACAACATATTCGAGCGACCGAATAATTCTGTTTAGGATCGTAAACTGTTTCCAAAATAATCACATACGAGAAACATATATTGACGCAAGCGTCAAAAATCGGCCGCAAACCAATTGATTATTCCTTTTATGAAGCAACTAAAGACTGAAATGGTGATCGGTTTTTAAAATATCTTATATTTATCTGTTAATATATATCCTTGTGATATTAAACGCTTGTGCACGGCAATGCATGATTTTCTTAATTATAAATGCATGTTTAGTATTACATGTATAAGCAAAGTACCCCACGTCTTCTGTTAAGAGGCATTTACATTAAAAGTTAAAAACTAAAGTTTAATGTAATCTACAACTAGATATGCAGTATAGTTTTAATTTAATAAAAACGCAACAAATATGTAAAGGAAAAAACTAAACTCTCTCTAGATCCGCCACGACATTTCTTCTAGTTTTCTTGAGTTGTAGCGGGAAAAGTCTTAGCACATTGTAAAACATGCATTATTCTCGTCTACTAAGGCCAAATCTTGTAATATTCTGTAGCTTGCTAGGTCTTTTGATGAATTAACATTTAACCATATTTTTGAAAATGTTTTATATGTACATGTGTACACGTCATTTTAAAATAAATATGTACAACAAATCCTGTTTAAATAGAGAAAGTAAAATTGTGCAATATACGTAACGCTGTCTTTGCTTTAGACTATGCCCAACACATTTCCTTCCTAATTTACTCCGCACCTCAAACATGTCAAAGTTTCTCAAACAGGATTGGATGAAATATTTACCTCATTCTTTATAAAAATTTTAATTTTATGTTTATTGTGCGTTCTTGTTAAACATCTAGACGCTCTTTTTAGTATACTATCATATTAATGTTAAATATTTTTTATATTTAAATTGTTTTAACTCCGCAGAAACGCACAGCGACTTCAAACTTCCATATCATACAAGTTTATCTTTTAAAAAGATAGGTGAGCTAGCGCCGTTGTAAAGACGAATAATGACCCCCATCGAATAATGACCGGGGGGTCATTTTTCAACGACAAAAAATGACCCCCACCCGTAGAAAAAAATCCTTTTTTGTAGAAAAAGGGTCCTAGGGGGTCATTATTTTATATGTTAGTCCTATAAAATAATGACCCCCATTGAAAAATGACCCCCTTTAAAGTGATACAAAATATACACTCTTTGATATCTTTTTTACAGCGAAACTAATTTTTACATTTTCTGTAACCAGAAAAATACAAAAAGTCGTAAAAAATAATTAAGAGATTCACGTAGTCTTTCAATGCTAAAATTGTGTTTGAAAAGAGATTCTTTAATTGTCAAGTAAATAAAATTTCTTTTTAATATTCCTCCTTATAATGTTTGCTTAAAGAATGATATTCCACTTGTTTTTAGAAATCAAACCATGCAAAAATCAGGTTTAAATACTCTTTAATAGGAAAAATTAAATTTTCCGTCATTTCAACTTTTAGTTTGTTTAAGTTTGGCAAATCCTATTTGACAATGAAAGAGGAAGAAATTTTTATCCCCCCCCCCCCAAAAAAAAGAACATTACGTTAAATCAAAACAAAAAAAAAAATAAATGAAAAGCAAAAATATAAATAAAACTATACCTTTCAATAATTCTGAAAGAGGCTCTAGATAAAATATGGAAATGAAGTTAAGCCTTCACACAAGTACTATCATATCATAATTTACTTCGCCATGATTAAAGCATACTTTAAATGTTGGTGGAGGTATACTTGAAAGTATTGTGGCAAAGTAACAGTTAAAAATTAGTAGAATAGTAGATTATTTTTAGCTTATTTTTAATTCCTTCTTATAGAAAAATAAAGGTAGGGTGGTTTTTTTTGCTTTTGTTCAATATTGACTTCCTCCTAAATAAGAAAGGGGGTGGGGTAAGTATAAGACCTAAAAATATGCTCTGTAAAGCTATGGGCTAGTGTAAAATACACAGTCATTCTAATGCAAAAACTATACATGTAGACATAAACTTTTGATTTAGTACACAGTATTCATTACATTTCTTTTAACGTAGAACCTACTTCGTATGACATCATAACTTGTAAATGTGTTAAACCTATGCTAACCCATTAAGACCCATTAATTAATTCAATGCCACTATATCCGTACTTGACAGCTTCAATAAAAATGGTAGAAAATACTGCATTTTGAAATTCACAGAATTCAATCATGCCAACATAATCTTGATTCAATTCATATATTTTTTGGTTTAAAATGCTTAATGGCAATATATTTCTGGAATAAGAGAAAATATGTAGGCACCTTTTATTTCTAGATCTAGACCTGAAGTTGACAAACCCAAGACTATCTAGTGTAATGAAATTACAATGTACATACAGCTTTCGTAATAATTTGAATGGTATGTAACCATTTTGAAGGAATGCATAAATCGTAAGAAATCTTTAGTTGCCAGCTATATAGTGTAATATCTTGATGAAATGTGTCTAAGTCAAAGATGTACGTGTTGTAGATCGTTTGATCGTGTGTACATTTTTGTGATATCTATAATGAAATGATGTGCATTCCTTTTAACAATTATTTGTTTCCTATTCATATTCTTGGTGTTTGATTACAATTTTTCTATTAAATATGATCTTTTTAAAGAAAAAGTACAATTTCTGATAAATATTTAATCTGAAAGTAACCCCAAACAGTCATTTAATTATTAAATCCCGTGTAAGTGCAAAAAGGTCAAGATATGAGTATCGGTAAATAGCCTATCTTTCATTAGTTAGAGGGGAAAGGTATATATTTTAATCATTTTTTGTAATCATTTGGCTCTGTTCTTCATCATATTGAAGATTGAAAACATTGTGACAAAGACGTCTAAAAAATATTTACAAACATAGGGTGAATAATTGACTAAAAATAATAGAGTTCATTTGACTATTCTTTTTTAATGGTGGACATATCTTTTATGTTAATTGAATAAAAAAGAAATTATTCTTGATAAAATATTATTTAATATTATTCAGTTAAAAAGTTTATAAACGACGATGTTTGAAGAAGTATTTTTGTGATTTTTCATATTCCCTTTATGACAAGTACCCCTAAAAATATTTGAAAATGTGAAGTCGCAGTATGTAAATACCATACCAAGTTTCACAGCCTGTTCTACATTAAAAAACAAGGAAACATATCATGATATCTTAACTGATTGATAAGCAAGTACTAATTTATCATTTTGAAAAGTTTGAAAATCTTGTGACAAAGACTTTTCCGACATAGGTTCTACCTTAATTCTTGTTTTACTCCACCCTTTTACTCAGTTCTGAGTATATTTTTCAGCGAATTTAATATGAAAATCAGAACAAACATTTTCATTGTTGTAACGTCTTCTCTATAAAATATATATTAATATGAAAAGTTAATTGAAGACCGTTTCTTTTTATGTCCCCGTAATCGAAGATTCGGGGGTATATAGTTTTATCGTGTTCGTCTGTATGTCCGTCTGTCTATCTGGCGGTTTGTTTGTCCGCAGAAACCTTAACCTTTACCATAACTTTTCATTTATTGGAGCTATGACTTTCGTATTTAATATGTATATTCCTTGTGATAAGACCTTACTTTGGGTACCACCAAATTTGACCTTTTGACCTTTACCTTGGAGTTTGTCCCATTTTACACAAAAATGCCAAATTTTTACTTTGGCCGTAACTTTTAAACGGTACATACTAGTACTCTCATACTTCAAATATGTAGTTTTTTGGCATTACCTTTCATTGGATACTAAAAACCTTGACCTTTTGACCTTTACCTTGGCCATAACTTTTGAACGGTAAGGGCTAGGGTATTCATACTTCACATATGTAATCCTTGTTACATTAAACATTTTCTTAAGAAATCATCAACTTTGATCTTCGAGTTTGACCTACCTTCCAAAAACTTATCCTTAGCCATTACTTTTGAACAAGTGGTGCTAGGGCTTTCCTATTTTGCAGTTGTATTTCTTGTGAGAAGACCCTACTTTGGGTAACAATATATTTAAATTGCATTTAAGAAAAGTTTAATCTGCGCTATGTTGCCATACAAGGGCATAGATGTTTCACAAACACATCTTTTTATATATGAGGATTTGCGGATAAGAGATGGATACCTCAAAGCGTAACAGACGGACGGACGGACATCCCAATCACTATATACCATCCCGCTTTTCAAGCGGAGGATATAATAATATATAATACTGCTGATTTTTTCTGTCAGTTCGATGATTTCCACCATCAAAAAACAATGTTTACCTAACCCTTAAGGCTTGATAAATCTTTTACTCCTTTAGAT